TTTCTGGGTCCAGTTATTCAGGATCCAGTTTTCAGGGTTTCTGGGTCCAGTTTTCAGGGTTCAGTTTTCGTGGTTTCTGGGTCCAGTTATTCAGGATCCAGTTTTCAGGGTTTCTGGGTCCAGTTTTCAGGGTTCAGTTTTCATGGTTTCTGGGTCCAGATTTCAGGTTTTCAGGGTCCAGTTTTCAGGGTTTCAGGGTCCAGTTATTCAGGATCCAGTTTTCAGGGTTTCTGGGTCCAGTTTTCAGGGTCCAGTTTTCATAGTTTCTGGGTCCACATTTCAGGTTTTCAGGGTCCAGTTTTCAGGGTTTCAGGGTCCAGTTTTCAGGGTTTCTGGGTCCAGTTTTCATGGTTTTTCAGTCCAGTTTTCAGGTTTTCAGGGTCCAGTTTTCAGGGTCCAGTTTTCATGGTTTCTGGGTCCACATTTCAGGTTTTCAGGGTCCAGTTTTCAGGGTTTCTGGGTCCAGTTTTCATGGTTTTTCAGTCCAGTTTTCAGGGTTTCTGGGTCCAGTTTTCACCTGATCTGTCAGAAACTATTTGTTTTGTTTATTCTGTGGGTTTTTTGGACCCTCAGAGGGAAGTGGTCTGATTTTATATTTCAGGACATCAGGTTGATTTAGTTTGATTAGATGAATCTTTACATTTTACTAACAGGAAGTAAAGACCTGCTGCTGCCACCTGGTTCCTGGTTCTTAGTACCTGGTTCCTGGTTCTTAGTACCTGGTTCCTGGTTCTTAGTACCTGGTTCCTGGTCTTTAAATCACTTCTATCTGTTTTCCTGCAGGTCTGGAGAGTGTGGACCACTACCCAATCCTGGTGGCTGTTACTGGAATCCTGGTCCGGATCCTGGTGGACGGAGAGAAGCAGGGGTGAGTTTTATTCTGTCTGGATCAGTGAGACCGGTCTCTGGTGTACTTTGTGACCCAGTGTGTCCTCTAAAGACCAGACTGGTGAAGAACCAGATCCAACCAGTCTACAGGTGTCCACATGCTCTACCTGAAGCTGCACTGTGGGCGTGTGGTCACGTTGTTTTCACACACACACACACACACACACACACACACACACA